CCCTTTAACATCACACTCAAGGGTGGCGCGCGCAAGTCAGCAATGATTGCGGCCTGACCCCAAGCTCTCAAATTAGACAAGTATCATCAAAATTCTGGTTCACGGCGCTTAAGCCTCGTAGACCTCGGAACTGGAGAAGCCAGAAATGAGCAAAAACCGACCCAGCATCTCACAAGGAAGCAGCTTGATAGAAACTTTGTGGGATGTCTGGGTGTAGAAGAATCCAAGACGGACTGCGAGAGGACCTCAACAAACGGCCGGAGACCTCAGAAGTCCACCGCATCAGAAAACTGCCCAAAACAAAGCCACGCAACCTATCCATTGACATGGGGGACCTCCTTGTTCCAGCCTGATTTTGGGGCCCAGGACTCATTTACACCACTTCCTTCCACTCAAAAGCCCCACCCAAAACCCCCCTCAAAACCCCCTCAAAACCCCACCCCACCCCAAAAGCCCCCCAAAAGCAGAAGCCCCCAAAAGCCCCCCAAACCCCCCAAAGCTCCCCCCCAAAGCTCCCCCAAAGCCCCAAAGCCCACCCCCAAAGCCCCCCCAAAGCCAAAGCCCGGAGCTTCCGGCCTGATCGCTTGGATCTCCCGGGCGCTTCCGGCCACTCCGAAGCCTGGGGCGCTCACAGAGACGCCGCCGCCTCGGCACGCGCCACGCGAAAGCCGAAAACCGGTCACCGGTCAGCCGGGGGGGGGGGGGGGTGGGGCTTTCCCTCGGGCGGTTTGGGGGAACCCGTGATTCGTATCCTTTGTATCAATTGTATTTAGATGATTTGCTCATCCTTTGCATGGTTGCTATGAATATCGTGTTGGAGGAAGCAAATTTGTATTTAGTTGCTATGTATCGCGTTGGAGTGGAACAAAATGGGCAACGTTGTAGAGTTGTCTTAGAAATACGTACTAAGCCTACAACATGATTTGGCCTTCTCCGCTCAAAATATGCATCCTGAACAGTCATGGGAAAGTTAGAATGTCCGCGATTGTGTAACTTCAACATCCAAGTAATGCATATTGCGTGGATGGTGCTTGGGCATCGTCAACATTGCGAACAGTCAGATTCAAGTGACACAGTTGAACGCCGCAAAGGATCATTCGCGAAAAAACTTGAAACTAAAAAAAAGCACTAAAACTGACCTTCTCACATGCTACATCAGTGGCCCCAAAGAAATGTGCCACGTCATTTCAGAGGCCGCCGCAGCCTGCGAAGTGGCTGCCTCTGCTTGCGCCTCTGAGGCGCTGACTGAGGCCTTCGGACTCCACGCCCGCGGTGTCCTTCATCCACACCCGGCCGAAGGAGCGCGGGCCCAGAGGCGACTCCAGCAGGACGATGCTGCCTGCCAGCTGGATGGTACTGTGGATGGACGAAATCCATAGACCCCAGGTTTGGGGCGGAAAAAGGCCCTGAAACCGAGCAGAAAAACCGCTTCTCGTGAGGAATCCGACGCAAACCTTCGCTGGACCCTCTGAACACTCTGTCAGAAAGAAGCGACCCTGCGTCCAAGGTGCACCATGTTTGTGTATGAAGCTGAAGGAGCACCGTTTTGTCAAACCTTCATAGCATGCACTACTCCGACCGGGAATGGCGGCTCTCTCTCTCTCTCTCTCAGGAAGAAAACCAGCTGCGGTTCGAGCTCGGAGGGCGAGGCAATCCTGCCCTTCGCGTATGTGGCTGACATGTTTTGTTGGTGCGCAAGCTCCTCCGCAGCATGCCCGCACGCAGGCCAGCCAACACATCTGGACCCCAAAACATCCCCTCCTGATGCCCGTTTTGCCCAACCTTCAAAAAGCACCGTAAATACCGTCCCAACAGCGGCCAGCATCCCCGTCATTGCCAACTTCCCCTGCAGCATGCAGGCTTGCCAACATCCCCATCCCCGTCATCCTGCCAAACTTCCAAAATGGCCCAGCGGAAAGCGGACATAGCAGGGAAGCCTGCGATCAAGGGAGCGGGGCTCGCGCGAGGGAGGCGCCGTCTCCATTATGCGAAAAACATCGCAACTGCCGTGTCTTTTGGTCAGTCTTCGCGGGTTTGTGTGGCTTCCTGATTCGCGCACGCGCGCACGCGCGCACGCACGCAAGCACGCACGCACGCACGCATACGCATACGCATACGCATACGCATACACACACGCACGAACTCACACGCACAGGCACACGCGCGCGTTCGCGCGCTGAGCTGAGCACCGGCGCAGCTCACTGTGGCTGTAGCATTGCTTTTGGCGTGCACATGTCTTTCCACCCATCCCATCTCAGAACCCTTTTGCAATGTGATCTCCTTTGAGATGTTGGTCTCTTCAAAGGGGAACAAAAACGAAAACTCTGCCTGAAGCGAAACGCGCGGGTGGGATTTCAAGAAAAGAGGACCTGGTAAGGGCCCAAAATTCGAATTGCGCCGCCTTTTGACAGGGAGTCTAAAAAGTCCTCAGATATGCGCATCCGCCACAAAGTCGGCAGACAAATATGGCTACATGACCTGCAATCGTTGGTGCCACGTGTGTAACCAAAATGGGTTTGGTTCCTGTCTTAAGGTATCCAAAACCGGATTTCGGTTTTTGCCTTCCCCAACCAACCCCAAAGATCACACCCAACCAGATATTAAGTAAGTCATAATCAACACCTGGTATTAAAATGGTGGACCCAGAACCACGTAAAGAACCATGTGAAGAATTAAGAAGCGGCCGAGGCTATTTATGGTTGGGATTGTCCCTTGCTAACCTTCATCTACCCGGGCATTGATTGTGGCTCAGGTGGTTTTGGTGTTGGTTTAAGCCAACCCCTCCCCAAAAAACCCTTGGATCGGGTCCCAGTCGCCATGCCGCAGTCCGCGTCCGCGCGCCGCCTCCCATGCCCACAACTCCGGCCCGGGCTGCGAAGCCACGCGGGTTTCAAAGGGAAGCCATGGGGCTTTGGGAAAAGATGTGATCTAGGTCCTCCAGTAGAGAGGAGAGAATGAGGGTACCCTTTTCTTCTGTCGTCTATTTTAGTAGGGGAACCCTCCCCCAAAAAAGCGTCACAGGGCACCACTGGGGGACCTAGTGATGTTTAGAGAACCATTCGAGGCCCTCCAATTCTCATTGGAGATGGTCCGCGTGGACATCAATTTGAGACACATGTGGCAAGTTGGCCTCTTGCTAGGAAAAAAACCTCGACGCATTGTTCAAATGTCTCCACCTTGCAGGGGCCTATGGCAAGCAATCCTCACTTCCTGAAACATGGCAGCTGGAGAATTCTTGCGGTTGGAACAGATCGAACACTTTGCGAAGTTTCGCTGTTTCCAGGTTCAGTCGAACCCTGGGCTGACTCTGGTCAAGCCGTGCCAGGCCAAGTGAGATAGTCCCCACGGATCTCCGTTTGAGAGGGAACGGGCAGTCTGCTCTCCCAACGAATCCCCAGGAGCCTTCCCTTTCCATCTTGTTTCGCTTGGCAAAATCGGCACAAGGGTAACATAGAGTCATTGGGAGAATCAGCTGCGTACTCGCCCCTGACCATTCGAGTAGCAAAGCGTTGCCGGAGAGGTGTTCGTCCCGGCCCAAAACCCGTAGGAATCACATTTCAGCTCGGCCCCCTGTTTTTGGCGGGTGCTGTACCGTTACTGAAGCCGTTGTCCAGGTTTTCTGGGACGTCTAAGATTTGCACCCCTCGTCTTTTGGGTTGTTTCCAGCCAAACTGTCTTTGGATGTTGTTTAAGACCTGGCACCTGTCTGGCACGCTCACGCATGGCGCAAAAAACCTTCGTCCTTGCATGAGTTGTCCGCAACTCCAAAGCGTCCATCTTCGTGGAAAGTGCAACCAAAGACACTGACTCGAATTTATTTGTGACGATGTAGGGGCTAGAGGCCACTTCGCCGTCAACACTAGGACTAGGGGCCGCAAATGTGCGGTCCAGGGACGTTAGCATGGCCATCACGGTCATACCTTGGTGAGAACAAATGTGTGTGTGAGTGAGTGTGCTTGTGTGTGTGTGTGTGCGTGTGCGTGTGCGAAATAGGACTGGAATTGTCACCACCTTCACGACCATCCAAACCTCACAGGTTGGCAATCTCCTCTGGCAGCAGCTTAGATGTCTCCTTGTCCTTGGCATGGGCCTTGGGCGCGGCATTGCCCACTGCCAGCAGCATGGTCAGCACAGCCAGGAAGATCAGAAGGGCGCCCAGCATGGTCAGCAGCTTCACGTGGCTGCAGCAGCAGATAGTCCAGGCAAAAGCCCGCCAGCATGCCGCAGGCAGTGATCACGGTGGTGACAACAGCGGCCGAGCATTTTTGAGACGCAATGGCACCAAAAATTGTGTCGCAATGCAGAAGCGCTGGAAGGCCAAACAGAAGCAGCACACTTTCAGGGCGCACGCCTTCCATGGATTGAAAGCTTCCACTGGGCACTCTGACCATGAAGTGAAGCGTCCAACTGAAGATCCACATGTGGAACAAGTTGGCGGTACACAAAAACGAAGGATTGACGTCCTGGACGAACCTGCCAACGAGGGCGGAACCACCGGCGCAGATGCCGCTACACAGAGCCAGGCCATTGCCAAGCAAGGACGACCCCATGGTGGCCACGACTTCTTCGGGGTCTGCAGTCAGAATGGCGCCCGCGACGAATAAGGTCACAGACACCAGGTGCATCCGTCCGAAGTCCTCCCCCATGGCCACGGTTCCCAGCGAGGCCACGATGGAGTTCACGCTGCGGAAGGCGGCGATCGAACCCACGTAGGCGCCGGCCAGCACCGCGCAAATGCTCAAGAAGCCATTCCCGCTGCCGCACAAGCCACGCAGCATGACCAACCGCATATCAGGAGGTTTCGCAAGGCCACGCCACCGCTGATACGAAATGTTGCCAAGAACTGCAAGCAACGCCGCGCTTCCGGTGATGAAAAAGTAAGGCCAGTCCCAAAACTGCAGCTGCTGGTTGCCGGCAATCACTGCCGTGTCTGTCAGGGAGCAAGCCAATGCCGCCGCAATGCCCTCCACTTGTCTGAGCCTCTCGCTCTGGATCTCCATGGCCAAACAAACCGAGCCACAGCTACACCAAGATGGGCTCAGTCTGATTTCCTCAAGAAAAAAAACGGGGGCAGTCACTGGTACATCACTCTCTTCAAGCTCCAACCCCTTCTCATCGGCGTTTTTCCAACCGAACAACCCACCGAAAAACCCGAGAAATCCCACCGGCAGACCCTCGGCAATCGGCGCCTCTGCATCCAGAAGGGCCCAGCTGGCGGAGAGACACCTGGCAGCTCAACCCATGAGATACTGTGGATGGTTGCGAAATCCTCTTGGGCACCACCTTTCAGAAACCCTGGAACAAGTCGGAATAATGATTCATGGGGGTGGGGGGGAGGGAGGGGAGGGAGGGAGCCCAAATAAGCTTATTAAGCCCCATAATAAGACTTTCTTTGGGGCTTATTGGGGCTCCCCCCCTCCCTCCCCCCAGCCCCCATGATGAACTGAAGGATTGGTTCTTTGCTCTGTCCCCAATCACCCCATCCAGAGAAACCCCTTCCCAAATTCGGCAACTGGAGGGTGTTGTCTAAACCACTAGATTTGCATATCACAAAGTGTCCTGTTTGGAGACTGCCCCGAAGGTACGAGTTTCTTCCAAGCATATCCAAAACAAGCGCATTAGAGTTTTCGCGCATGAAATGGAAAACAAATCCACGGCATGTACCCTCCCACCAAAAAAAGGAACCTGACGTTTGGGAGGGTCCTGTTATGGACCATTTTCCTTTTCAAGGGACCATTTCCTAACGCCGTGTTCCATGTTAATTGGTGGTTCTTGGTTTCCCTTGGTTTCCCCTGGTTTCCCTTGATTTGTCTTGGTTTCCCCTTGGGAGGGTATCCCAAATGCATCCCAAAGACCCATGCAGGTTGAGCGCCACGAACCCGGCTCAAGGGCCGAGCCTGGCTGCCAAGCGATGCTTTCCACGAGCCTCGCATGGCCCAAAGACCAACGTGGAGTGGCACTCCGTCAACATATCTCAAGCATGTCTAAGAAGGAAGGCAGGTCTGTAGGTGGGTAGACAGCCTGGTTGCTTGCTTGCTTGCCTGCCTGCGTGCTTGCTTGCTTGCTGGCTGGCTGGCTGGCTGGCTGCCTGCCTGGCTTGCTTGCTTGCTTGCTTTGTTGGTTGCTTGGTTGCTTTCTCGACTACATGCCTGAAACTTCTCTTGCTTGGTACAAAAGGGGGTCCTTTCTTGGGGTAATCTGAATGATGCGCCTAAAAACTGCTCCAATCTTGGAAGACATCTGGCAATCTCAATCACCCGAAAATCCAGGAGTCGGATGAACCCGGCCTCGTTCAGGCACTGTGCCCGCGCCTCCGTCAACACCACGTCCTTGCGGATGCGGCCCATCAGCGTAGTACGATTGATTCCCTTGTCTAACAATTTCGGTACCAAAACCAATAGGGGCCCATGGACCCAGTAGACCAAGAGCTCAACGGCGGCACCGCCCTAGAGACACCGAAAGGCAGCTCTGGTCGCACCCGTTTTCCAGAGAACCAGGGGGTCAGACTCTGGCCAGCGCGCTCTGTTGCAAGTCACCACACCATGGCTAGTGGCGACTACCGCGGTATTCTTGTTCCCTACTTTGAAAATGTGCGAAGCCAGAACAGAAATTGTGGGACTGACAACTCTGCTTGTCTGAAGTTGAGTGCCCTGAGACCACAACACCACAAGGGATGGAGCTTTCTAAGGAGGTATTTAGGGTTTTTGTTGCGGGTTGGACACTGCTGAAGGGTTGGAACTGGGAATCACAACGAGAGCTCCACCCCGACACCCCACCCCACCCAACCTCCAGGGTTTGGCCAAGGTCCCCTCGAGCCCCTCGAGCCCCTCGAGCCCCGTCCTCCCACACCCTTTGGTACGCTGTCAGAGACTCGAAGGTCCCGTCCTTGGATCAAAACAGAACTTCTGGGGGTTCTTGGTGGTTCTGGCACTGCGAGCTTTATTCACTCGGTTGCCCAGTTCGGAGAATCTATTTTTTCGGTTGGCCTTCTGGGGTCATAAAGGGGAAACGCATGGCAGGCCACAGAGGCCACGTTGGTGTTGTGGCCCAATTGCGAGGAGCGATGTTTTCAATTTGGTCTGCGACTGGAACTATGTGGCCCCCGGAAAGGGGAACAAAAACGTGTTGGGCCACTGGTCGAGCGAGCGAGCGGCAGCAGGCAACTTCTCGTGTAGGCGCACCAAGCCTGGCAAAGGAGCGGAAGTGTACGTCCGCCCGGTTTGTTCCCTCGCAGCCCTTGGTGCGCCGCAGTTGAAGAAACTCGCCCCAAAAAAACGAACACAGTTGCAGTGGAAAAAAAAGAAGCAAGACCCTTCAAGCCAAAGAAGTGTCCACCATACTTCTTCATCCGCAAGCTTCCCAGCCCCCCTCCCAACCCCACCCAACCTCCCCCCAACCCACCCAACCTCCCAACCCAACCTCCACGCCTTCTGCCTGATTGGCGTCCATGGCCAGGACGTGCCTCGCCACCGCCTCCTTCGGCTCCAGCGCCTAAAGGGC